TAACTTTGGGGTACTGCTTCTTCGTCCAGTGGAATTCTTGGTTGTTGATTGTGGCCGAACGGCCATCGAGGGCTCCGGTCGATGCCACCACCCCGGCGCCGGTGCAGACGGTAAAGAGAAGCTTGCCAGCGGCGACGTGGCGGCGGATGAAATCGGCGAACTTTGGGGAAAGCTCAAAGTCGGCGACATTGGGGCCACCGATAAGCAGGGCATCCAATTCCGGGCAATCTTCGATGGTGGTGTTGGGGACGATGGTGACGGAACTGGTGAGCAGGTGCACGGGTTCCAGGGTCTCGCCGATGTGATGGAAAACGAACTCTGGTGCGTCGGCAAGCACCTTTTCGTCGATCGGGATGTAAAAGCTCATAGCGTCGAGGAGAGCTTTGCCAGAAGAGTTGAGCAGATCAAAGGGACCAATTACGTCGATTGCCTGGTAGTTGTACACCAGCGCGCCGATGTGGAAGGGAGCCATGATTCCGATTCTGAGACTTTGAACTTGGGGATTGCGGGCGAGTACTGTTTGCAAATAGAATGAAGAGAACACGAACACGTTCTGCCGCTTGGATTGTTTCTGGTACTCAAGCAAAAAGTCGACGTTGCTGTTGCCTCCTCACAAGAATATATAGTTGAAACCAGAAGGGCAATGCCCACCATCGACTACGCTTGCTGATAAATGCAATCCAAGACTTGCGAGGGGTACTCCTTGAAATGGAGGTTGGAAATGTATATGGAGCGGGTATAATATGGGGTATGTGGAGCGAAACCCGATTGAGCCTATACTTCCACTTCAGGCCATGATGCCAGATGCGGAAATGTGGAACTCGGCCGAACCTGACCCCGGGACTGTATACCGCTGATCAATATCCTCACCAGAATAAAACATGCTTAGCTATTTCGAACGATGAGACTCGGTCCCCCGACCCTCCTTGACTCCACCGCATAAGGCTGGTATACCGTCGGGCAGGGCTGGCAGGGTCACAGTGTAGTCAGAGCCTCGGAGGCACCCATCATTTCCAAGGGGTCAGATGGAGGCCACGCTGTTTTCGAAGAGGCTTGTTTCTGGTCTCCGCTGCTGGTGTCTTAGCCGCGTGCGCTGGGATGCCAATTTCTTCTTCTATTTACTTAATTGATTGATAAAACATAACTAATGGGAATACGTGGTCGTAGCAATGCTGCAAGTTCAAGGGGAGCCGTCTAACCTTGCCGATAGAGTTAGGCCACAGGTACACGGCACCCCATGGGAAGATCCTTCTGGACGACATGCCTTTTCAACCAGGGAATACCAGCTTCCCGTCGGTCAAGCAGTGCCTACCTGAAAGACGTTGACGGAAATAGTCTTGTTCTGGAATGGCTCCCGGTCACCGTCCTCGATCAGTGACGTCTTCACATCTACTTTGACCAGCCCTTAGTCTCCAGTCTGATGTTGCTGATAAATACTCATACCAGAATTCGAGGGGGAGAATGAAAAGGGCATGGGTTGACGGAACTGACGGGCATGTACTCTGCCGGAACGACGAGCATATTTTCGCCTGCATGGTCGGATGCGTGCCCGATACTTGACAACAAAGTGTGCCCCAACATGCGCTGTCCTCGATGATAGCATGGACGCGTTCGTCGTGCCGCATGCGCTGGCACAGAAACGATATATTGTTGTAGGCCGAGACGGCGGACGAAAGGATATTGGAGGGATGCAAAACACCTAGGATTGGACTCTTTTTCCATCGCCCCTTTTTGCAGACCAGTTCCTCTTTCTTGCTTCGCACCCTGTAAAGTTGTCAAGCGAAGGCTAAAGTCAAAGAGCCGTAGTGAAGAAGGTCGGCGAGAGAAGAGCAAAAAGGACGAGAACAAATTCAGCCGCAACTTCCAAATTGCCTGCTCAGAGAAAAATTGAAACTATGTATCAGCGCTGGCTTTGCCATGAGGCAGAAACCAATAATGACAATTCATAGCGTGACATATCTAGCTGACAAGAGGCCGCAATCGATGCACTGTCATTGATATCTTTGTCCGTGCAACGCATGCACGGCTCGACTGGGTGGTTTGTCATGGAGAAGCTGTCAGCCTTGTGATGTATTTACCTTTCAGTCAGACCAAGTCCAAGACATGTGGTGCATTTCCATCCACAAATCAGAGAACAAGTCGTGGATGCCCGTGTGTTCGCTCCTGAGCTTAAGTCCGTCGCCTAGAAACCCTAATGTCTTGCCGACTCTCCAGTTGGATCGTCCCCCGGTTATTAAGTGCCGGGATTCGCCCTACGAAAGTCTACCCTAGGTCGTTGGCGGCTGGTATAGAAAATGGCAGGATCAAGAACTTCTGCAGGAATTCTCCCTTCGAGAAGCAGATCCTATTGATTTTGAAGCTTGAACACTGTCTCATCCCTGTATTTTTTCAAAAATGGAATCGGCTGCGAGCCAGCCGTGCCTTTCTGCTGCTCAACAGGCTTGCCCTTGGCCTCAGCTGCTGCGGGCAGGACAACAAATCTCGACACGATGCTGACATGCTTCGTTCTCCATTTCTGAAATGCATCGAGGACGCCTTGAAAGGCACGACCCAACTCTTCGTCCTCCGGGCGTCGCTCAATCGTGTCCCGCAACGAAGGTATGAGTTCAACCGCTCCGAGAAAGTCCCTGTGCCGTTTTGGCATGTAAGCCCTCATCTCGAGCAGCATTTTGGATTCGTGGCGGACACCAAACATGTGATCGAGAAGCTGGAAGAGAGAACTCTGTCCTGCACTGCCTCCAACGCACTTAACTACGACTCGAGATCCGTCACTTCGTTCGAACGACACACCATTAGGGAGTCCCTTTTCTTCTGCACCCGAGCTGCCTCCGAGCATCGGGCGTATCTTTTGGAAGAAGAAGGTTGGATCACAATTCCGGTCCAAGACAGACAGAGTTTCCCTCATGGTCGTGAGTGTTTTCACACAAACATCCAAGACGGACACCAAATCTAGTATTTCTCCATTTTGGTCTGCAACGATTGTATCCAGCATCAACTTGATGAGCTTGGAACCCTGAGCCTCGACCATCACTGGCACTAGATTGAATGCGTCTTCGTCTCTTGTGCCTGTAAAAGAAGCGACAGACTTGATGGCCCCAAAGTCGGCCAGAGCCAGCAACGGGGGCAACTGGATCTCCTGATCTCTTTGCATCCAGTTCCACAGGCAGAGTCCGACATAACTGAGAACGGGTTCCGTCCCGAGATAGCTACAGACTTCGAGAAAAGGCTCGGCGAGGCTAGCCGGAACGACTTGGGAGGGCCTTCTTTTGTCCTGCCAGATGAAGGACTGGGTCAGAAACCCTAGGACAACATATGCACGTTGCCAGTGCGCAGAGGTCGTGAGATGATCAGTCGTGAGTATTTCGAGATTGCTGACCTGGGCCTGAAGAGCCTCAGCCTCAAGCAGATGCGGCAGATTCGAGAGGAGGTTGCACCAGGGTGCATAGTATGCTGGCAACTCAGTCGACCTCGCGGCAACAAACCCTAGTTCGAAATCAACATCGTAGTCTCGTGGATCTGGTAGTGAGACGAGGGGGAACATTTTTGTTTGTAGCTGGCGATCAGGGTACAGAAATCATGGAAATGCAAAACTTTGGGCCACAGCTTTATGAGCTGCTTGGAGTGCGTTCGTCGCAGGACTCGGTGGACCGACGTATCTGGCTCGTATCACACTACCATTGCCACGCCCTTCCCATGACAATGCAATGTTTGGCATCTTTTTGATTGGTCAAAACTCCAGGCTTGTCTTTACGTGTGAGCATCTTTTACAAGCGACGACCCCCTTCGGAGTCCCAATTCGACTTCCGTCGTCGTGAGTGAAGGGCAGGATTTGCGACATCGAGGGGATGTGACGTGGGAGCGAAGGAAGGTCGTCGGTAGGTCTGGCACTCAGAGCTGCATAATGAACAGCAGGAGGGAATAGATACAACCCAGATAGCCAATTTAACTCGAGGACTTGGTGAGCTTGGTGTTCGAGACATTGGGAGAAGTGTGGGCTGCTTACCTCTTCCAGAGATAATCCTTTTGTTTAAGGACATGGAAAACTCAATCGTTCACGAGCCAGAGGACAGGCTCTGTCATCAAACCGAAGCTGTTGTCGGACCCTCCAGGACGAGACGATCGTGTGCTGGATGACCTTTGGATCCCTTCTTGGTTTGATCCTCAGCAGTCTAGGCAGTGGACTATGGAATTATTGCAAAGAACAACCTGTGTCTCTCTCCGAGCACCAAGAACGTCGGGCAGCCTCTGCTCGCAACCATAGCCCACCTCGGAAACAATGATGCACGACACCTGCAGGCAATGAATCTAATATGAGCCGAATTTGGACATCCCACAACACCAAGGCACAAGGCCACGCGCGACAACCCGATCAGGTGCAGCGGTCATGCTTGGCTAGGAAGATATTTCACGGTTAGGGTTGCTGCCGCTGCACGTTGCAGGAGATGAAGCCATGAAAGGTTATGACCTCGACCGAAGATGGAGAATTACTTTATGAATGAGCGAGGACGAAGTAGACTTCACGTCTGAAAAGGATGGATGACTCGAGTAGGTATTGTACTCATGCCCACCAGCTGTTCTACTCGATTCTGTCTTGGTCTCTGGAAGAGACTTCCCTGAGGAAAACGACACAGTGACGCTGTACAATCTACGACCGCAGTAGCCAACTCAAACCAGTCGATTGGATCAGTACGCAGGTCAGGATAGGAATGCAGGATGCTGAATGCCATTATGCACTATTCAATATATGACATGTAATATGTTGTTGTGAGGTACGTAATAGTCGAAGGCTGCTTCAACTATTCATCAATGGCCTTTTCCCCCAGATTTCCCTTGTTCCCTCCCTTTGGGCAAACAAGATTTGACTGAAGTCCCGGGGTTTCTTTCATGACTTCCAAATCCACTCCAACCCCGCCTCCGTACGCACTGGTACTGGCACGCCATCCTGAACAACGACGGTCATCTCTGAACAAGGGCATGACAACCGTCCAATGGATAGAAACTTAGGCCCGCTCGCTCTGCAGGACACCATACTGGCCCTGATCGCCTGCTTTACTGTCCTGACCCTGCTGCCTCGCTCGGCCTCCTTCGACGCCAGCCTGGCCCAGCTCGCCGATAGGGTCGTCGTTGCGACCGAGGAACTCGCGCTCGGCGAGGCGGCCTGGGTCGTTGACCGTGCCGATGGCGCCCGTGAAGGTCTTTGTCTGCGGTATGCTCTGCGAGACGTCGGCGTCGTCGAGGTTGGCGCCCTTGGGCTTAAACGTGCCCGCGGGGACGGCATCCCCTGTCACACTCGAGACGTACCCAGGGGCGGCGTCGACGTGGGGACGGACCCCCGTGCCGGTGGCGGGACCACCGGCGCCACTGGTCTGGGTGGTATTGCCCTTCGAAGCGGAATTGTCGATGTCCGCGCCGGATCGGATGAACTTGTCATCAGGACCGCGCGTGGAGGACGAGGTGGTCGTCGAGGCACCAAAGTCACTCGCGCCCGCTGGCCTAGCCTGTCCGCCACCGCTGCTATTCGATTGCCCACCACCGACATAAGCCCCCTGGTCACTGTGTGCGCCGTCAAACTGCGCCCGCCCCGCTGCCTCGGGGTACTTCAATCCAGCGACGCCCTTCTCATCAGCCCCTGCGCCCAGGGCATTCTTCTTTTCCCGCTCACTCCCCGACTCGGCAGGCGGCAACGTTGTCGCCCCCGAAGTGTCCGTGTTGTTGAGCGTGGATTGGTCGCCCCGGACGCCCAGCGGCGCCGCGGAGGTGTTTTCGGTGAACCCGCCACGGTTCTTGAGCGATTCGGCCGCGAGCGAGTCCGACGCCACGGGCCCTGTTGGCTCTTGGGGGATGTTGTCCCGGTCGGGTTTTGGGGCACGGGGGTTTGCTGCAAAAGACATTTTGTTCTCTGTAAAAATTCTTCAGAAAGGAAGTGGGAGTTTTTTCGTGTTCAATGTAGATGACGTTAGGTTATTGGGGTATTTGTGAAAAAGGGGACTTGATATCTGCGTCGACCTTTTGTAGTTTTAGGCAAGGAATTGGGTCTGAGGTGTCTTGGAAGCCAGAGAAGTTGTGAGATGATATGGTCAAGGAAGGAAGAAGAGAGAGCTCCCACGATGAGATGTCAGCGTCGAAAGAAATACCATTCATGTTTCTTGCCATTGAATCATCGAGGAGGCTACCTGTCACTTGTTGTCACTGGAAAAATGGTAATGACATCACCTGGTGGTCCACTGTGAAGTCATTGTTGAAATTTCCCATGTTCCCCCTCTGCCACTGGTTGGGCATCGTCTCCCGAACAAACAGAACAGCGAAACATGAATCGCTGATCGACGACGTTCTTCTATCATTAAAGGTCGTAAGCGCCTCATGTCAAAAATTTCATTGCTCTTTCTCTATGTTGCCATCGGCGTGCGTTTCCTCCCGTCCCTGCTCTTTGGAACGGCAAACTTTAAACAAAGCCGCCGGCAAAACCACGCGTTAAAACAATAAGACCCAAAGTCAACCTGGTATCATGCCTGTAAACCTCAAAAAAGCCCTGCATAGAAAGCCTCGTGTTGAGTGCGTCGATTTACTTCAATGCCTTCCGGGCGAATGTGGGTAGGATGAAACTCGCTCGGTGGATCTCTTTGTTGTAGTACTTGCACAGTTTCTCTTCTTCCTCGGGGCTCCAAGATCGCAATGGCTCCTTGACGTTGCGGTTGGCGTCCTTGCAGCAGACCATAAAACCAATCTGGCCGGAGGGGTAGGTCGGGATCGTGGTGTAGGCATATTCTGCTACTGGGAAAACTTCTTTGCACTCCTTCTTCAACTTGGTGATCAGAGGCAAATGAAGCCATTGGTTCTCGGCTAGAGAGCAAATATGTGTTAGCGTGTTTCTTCTCCAGGCATATGTGGGAACAGAGCATCTGAAGCTCAAAGAAATGTGTAGGGAGATGGGTGCGCACAACCTTGGGTAGTTATGACACCACCGTCTTTCAGAGCTCCATAGAGCAGCTCAAAGTAAGGCTTCTGGAAAAGGGTCTCTGCAGGACCTTCTGGATCGCTGCTATCAGTGATAATGACGTCGAATTCGTTCTTGCGGTCTGCCAGGAATTTGAAGCCATCTCCAATAAAGGTCTCGACTGCCGGGTGTTGAAATCCAATGGACATTCCAGGAAGGTATTTCTTGCTGACGCGGATGACAGCCTCGTCGATATCGCAGAGAATAGCCTTCTCCACTGATTCATGCTTGACGACCTCCCGCAAAACGCCTCCATCACCACCTCCAATGACAAGGACCTTCTTTGGGTCCGGGTGCGAGTTCATGGCCAAATGTGTAATCATCTCTTGATAAGAAAACTCGTCCCGCTCGGTGCATTGGATAACGTTGTCCAGGACCAGGACTGTGCCGTGGTCACTGCTTTCGAAGACCAAGACGTCTTGGTATTTGGATTTCTCATGGTGAAGGACTTGGTTGACCTTGAGGATCATGGCTTGGCCTGGCCACATGTCCGAGATTTCTCGGAACCAGCCATCTGTGATGAACGCGCGCGAGTCAGGTCGTGTACAAGATCTCAAACAGAACAACAAAGGCAGGTATCATACCTTTAATTGTAGGATGAGTGATTTCAGACATCATGGCAATCGAGTTGAATGGCGGAGAGGGAAAATGTCGAAACGAGTGAGTGAACGCGGGGTAACAACGACAGCAGCCGTCAATGGACTGTTGGAGAAGCAAAAAGAGTACAAGGAATTGTACCTGGTGAAGAGATAAGAGCAAAAGAAGAACGGAAGGAAGAAAAAGAGCAGACAACAACCTAGACGGAGTCGGGGCTGCAGTCAAGTGCAAGTAATGTTGCACTAGTTGGTGAAATGCCCAAGTCTCCGTCGTGTGACAGACAGACTTCGAGACTGTTGAATCCTGTTGTTACGTTCACTAAAACTTTTTTTTATTTTTTTTTTCCATTTCGGAGCGGGGCGAAGGGGGGACATTTTGCTGTCCCTCGTCCATTCGTTGATGTCGATTCGTCCCTGAGCATAAACCAGGGTCAACTCGTTGCTTCACTTTCCTCGACCCTCTCACCACTCGCTATCCACCTCCATGGGCCCAGCCAGTCCCCGGTTCAAGTCCTTGATTTACCTGGCTAACTACAAAGGAACACGCCACAACAGTGTGTTAACTGGAACGGGAGGGGACATCGCTTCCAAGAAAAAGGTGGGGGGGGGGGGGGTACAACGACTGGCCACAAGGTGTCACCAAACTCCCGGGCGTTACCGGTGGTTCTGGATAAGGAGGCGAAGGATGGGAAGGTGCATAAATGCTCTATTATGAGATACCCATCTCTCGCACCCTATCAACGGACGGCAACAGCGACTGCTCCTATCGTGTTGCGTCTTGCTAATGTGGTCCTAATGACACAGAATGCTCCGGTAAACAACATGCCGCTGAAGCGAACTTCCATTAATGCTCCACGTCCACCTCCTTCGTCTCCCCGGCCTTTCGGCCACCAATCTCCTTTTCGAGGTGAATTTCAACATGGTTGGTGAAATACTTGGAAGGATCAGCAACAGCCACAGCGCATAACATGGCGACGACACCGAAAGGGATCGATGACAGCCAGGTGATACGGAATCCGTAAGCATATCCAAGCCGGGCTGCCTCTATACACTTGGAAAAGACGGCTGCTGGCACACTGGGAACGGTGGCAGCCTGACCAGGAACACCGACCAGTGTCAGCGAAACTGCTTCAATCAGGTCTGGTAGAGTCGTGCTCGAGACATTGGCCGCTAGAGCAACCTCCGAGATGCGGCGGGGGACTTGCTTCTCTGAAATCTGATTGAAGATGGACGAAAAGATGACGGAACCAATTGATCCACCAAGAGATCGAAAAGTGCCAATCAGTCCGATGGCGACTCCCAAGTCTCGTTGCGGCACATGCAGCGACGCTGTCGTGTAGCAGTTGAGCGTGATCCATCCAAATGGAAGCATGGCAAGGAATTGCACCGCCATGACCCAGTTGATATTGTGGGGAGTGATGAGTGCGGCCAGTCCGAAAAAGAGAGTCTGCATAAAGACAGAAAAGGTGAGCTGAATATGGACGTGCTTGATATAGTGTACAAGCCCCGGAATGATGACGCCTCCTACGAGCTGACCAGCACTAATGCATTGTTAACAAGGACGTTCGCATCTTGACCGCAAGCAGACTTACCCAGAAGGAATGGAGTATACACCAATCTTGATAGGGTCGGCAGTGTAGAGGTAGAGGATCGTTTGCGCATTAAGCGCAGAGGCCGCAAAGAACACCATGCCCGCCACGAAGACAAGCATAAGCAGTGACGAGAACGATCGGAAACTCTTGAACAAGTACCACGGGAACAAAGGATCTTTCGCCACGGTAAAGTCGTATACGAAAGATCCCAGAAACACGACGACTCCGAGGATCAAAGGAGCCAGGGTTCCTGCAGCTGACCATGGATAGGTGTTACCACCCGAGTTCAAGCCGTACAGGAAGACAGCGAGGCCAGAAACAAACATGGCGGTGCCGATGAAGTCGAGTTGTTTGAACTCTTGCCACTTGGTCAAGCCATCAGGACGCGGATGGCTGGGTGGGAAATACACAAGGAACGTGCCGACAAGCGAGAAGCCGCCGTATCCCATCGCAATATAATACATCACCCGCCAGCTGGCGTGGGAGAGAAGGGCATTGGCAAGAAGTGTCCCGGCGATGGCCCAACTCGCAAGGTTGAGTTCTGTCCAGGCAAGGCCAACGCCACGGTATTTGTTGGGCAGAATTTCAGAAAGGCCTGTTGAAACAGATAAGCAACTGGACTTTGCAGTGAACTGAGCACTGCAGGGAGGCTCACCAGCATAGGCTACTGATACTGTTCCGATGGAACCTCCGAGGATGACTTCGCCGGCAATGAGTTGATTCATTGTCTGAGCACTGCATGCAACAGCACCACCAATCTATTTCACAGGCAACATCAGCGTTGGCATCCAGTGTGTTGGACAGGCCAACGGGCGAACGGAACAAAATCAATGTCGCGAAATTCGTTCGAAACCGGGCCTCTGCAGCAAAAAATAAAATAGACTTACGACTGTGAGGAGTTGTCCAACAAGGATAACATAACGACGACCAAAGATATCTGAAAGTCTTCCTGCAATGGAAAAGCCGACGGCTGCGGCTGCGCCCCAGCCAGAAGGTATCCAAAAGTCGATGGTTTCACCACCCAGCTTCTGACTCAATTGCACCAATATGGGTGTTGCGAGAATGAAGCCGAAGATGATCGGACCTGTGAAAGAAGTGCCCAAGAAAAGAGCTGAAAGAATGACCGAGAGACTGAGCCTCTCGGCATGCTCAGGATTGTCTTCGAGGGCAGCTTTGTGAGGATCTTCATATCCCTTTGTCGGAAGGTCGTGGCCCTCATTGTGGGCAACCTCGATCTCCGCGTCCACGCTTGTCTTGTGCTCTACTGTTTCCTGCATGGTGGGAGCGATACTGACGGAGGTCAACCTGGAGCAGCGTGGCAAGGGTAGGTGGATGAAAAATCTGGGGACAGCGGGTGAGACGAACCATGAGTTTTTGTATCTGTTCCCAGCAGCTACTAATTCCCCCAAAGTGGCTCTGATCAACCCCGTGGCCCCTGTTCTCCCATGTTCACCATGTGGAGGACGCAGTCAAGCGCTCCTCTACACCCATTGGGGTTTGACGCTGGGATCTAGATGGTCCATGAATCCGGTCGCTCTGACTCCTGTGGAGCTCGAAGGAAAGTACCAATGACTCTGCCCCCTTTTCTCATCTCAAGCAGGCGGGCTAAAGGCTTAGGCGTTTGTGGGCGTTGCTTGAGCCAGGGCCCTGGTCTTGGAGACGGACGGTCGGGCATTTCCCCATGGCTTGATGGCCATGCCGGAAGTCTA